CCACTTGGAGCCACAACAGGCGGGCTGCCGAGGGTAGTGCAAGCACAGGGGTGGCAAGTGGGGATTGCAGACGAGGTGGCGCAATGATCGCCATTGCACCACCTTCTGCCACCCGTGAGACTGACCCGGAAAGGGAGGGTTGCGGGAGGTGGCCACTCATGCCTCAAAACCGGAGAGCACCGATGAGGCGAGATGCGTCAGGCACAGCGGGAGCCATGCTGAGGAAGGGCGGAATGGGCTGTGGAGGCATGCGACGCTGGTGAGGGAGCGAGAAACCGGGAGCGCTCATAGGTACCCGAGATGTGCGAGTGCTGCCAGGGTGGATGGGTGGAGTGGGGTGGGGGGCCACAGCGAGAGGAAATGATCATGCGACCCAGACTGCATGAGAACTCCCACATTCTGCTCGTGTGGCGCATTCCTCGTGGTATGCCACCTACCATTTCCCTGCGCCTGACTCCTGCAGCGGCTCGGTGGTGATGACTGCCCATGGCCATGGTTTGTGGCACCTGGCACAGGGAGCGTTAGCTTCTGGTGCGGTGCTGCGCCCTTTTCACCTCACTCGCTAGATGCGGTGTGTCCACGACCATTATTCCCTTCTTATCATGTTAAGAATGCGGCTCAGTGGTGGTTGCTTGTTGCGATGGTGACTGGTGCATGCTGCCACGTTGCTTCGATGTGTTGACGAAGGCAGGCGAGGGGTGGCGACCCCTGACTGGAGACTGTGGGCTCGAGTGCACGGCAGCGATTTAAAGCGAAGCAAAGGGACAACAGGAATACTGTCCCTTACATATCCGCTCTGCTCATCAGTGTGCTTAATTCAGTTCCTATTGTCTCATCACCTCCATGCGTCCAGCTATTGATAATACTCAATCGGTTCTGGCTACAACATAAAATGAATGACGATGATGACTGGTCCATGATTGTTGTTTGAGTATGGAGTGACATGCCTGTCAGTTATGTCACTGTAACGCTATTCCCTTGGCTGTGTCTTCAAGCCCATTACCATGCCTGCCTCGGACATACTCCCACCCCCAAACCTAGCATCTCAGTGGCAGTCGCCGTCATCATCAGTCATTTTCACATAACAAGGGATTTGCGCAATCGCCACACAGCTGTTTGTGCAATAATTGACATGCACTTGTGCGACAAAGTGAGAGGCGAAGACTGCCTGGTTGCTTTGACCTGTGATGCAGGCTGATTGATTCAAAGAAAGTGTGGGATGGGGAGGGAGCCGCATGAAAGCCAGGAGGCAGTGCAAACGTGCGACTGGGCATGCATGTCAGATGACGTGATAAAACGCAGCCCCTGCGCCTATACCAGGGGGATTACAGGGCCGCACACAGTGAACCGAAGAAGATTCTTGTGTCGGAACACCCTTTTCGACGTATTGACCCAACGAACATGCACCGGTGCACATCTGGGCAGCAAGGTCCACACATGCCTCGCATCAATTCCCACCACGGAGAAAGAGGTGCTAAGGGAAGACGTCGCCAGGAGTAAGGTGGATGATGCAAGGCATACATGTCTCTGTGTAGGGTAGTCCTGTTTCTGGCATGGCTATGGCACCCGTAAGCACTGGCTTCACCAGCATAGACATGCATATTTCACACTGTTTGCCCTCCAAGGTGCAGTATACGATTGAAAATAGCACTGCAGCAAATGTGGAATACGTTAAGCCAAGACCAAAACGTGCAATCTGGACTTGAAGCTTGAGCAACTTTTTAGACAAACTGGCCCAAGGTCAGAGTGCAATTTCATGTACCTAAGTCAGGCACAATACTGCCTGGTTTGTGGCCATTTTCATGTCTGGTTGTTCAACCCCTGAACAGAGGATACTGAGTTTCCTTCACAACCATTGGCAGTTGGCCAACAGTGGCAAACCACCAGGGCGAGATAGCCGATGAATGCCAGAGGACAGGAGGGCAGTGTTCCTGCCTTCCAGGCAGGACTCCTGTGTTTGCAAACACACAACTGACAAGGATGGTAAAATAAACTCACTGCTACCCATAGCATCTACACAAATTAATGCCAATGTGACAACTCTCGATTGTGCCCTGCCAACTTTGGCTCACCATTCGACTCTTCTGCTTGGGCTTCCCCTTCCACTTTAAAAGAGGCAGCCAGAACACTCTACAGGCTTGTCCAAGAATACCACGCATGCCACTGGATATGCTGTGGTTGGTTTGGCTGCTTTGAAGCTAGCAGCACAGGCTCATGTCTTGCGGCGTTGGCGAGCTTTGCCCCTCCCCTTGGTTTCCTAAGCAGAGCCAAGAAGGGCACACACTTTTTAGCCATTGGGCTTTTATTGTGGATGAGTTGCCAGAGGCGTTTTGGCCATTCAAAGAAACAGCAATGACAGTTGCAGGCCTGCTGCTCAGGCAACATGCCTCAGGGATGCAGACTTATCTTAAGCACTGATAGTGTCCATCAAAAGTTCGCACAGTAATGCCCATTCACAAGAATCATGACAAGAGAAAAATGACATAACACAGCATCAACTCGATCCTTGTTGCTTTCGTCCTATCCCACTCAATGCATCTGCATCTTGGACAGAGCTGTTGGGATGCATCATGCAACAGTGGCATGTCTGTACCAATGGCAAAGCCATAAAATACAGATTATCAGCAGCTGAAAATTTTTGTGGAGCATCGGCACAGCTGTGACCCCGATTGTCTGCCAATGCCACAGCTGCCTTGCTCAAACCGGTGCTGAACACATCTCTGCAGCTGCTCTCATCGAACAAATTTCCTTGAACTGGAATGATTGGAAAAAATCGATTGCTGATTACAGGCACTTGTGTATCCAAAACAATCCCGTCTTCTTCGATTGGTTGAAATACCCCACTCCAACTTTCCCTGAATATGACAGGCTGCGCTCCCTGTGACAACAACAGGCTGCCCTCTCTGTGGTAGGACGCTCTTAAGCTAGAGCATACGTTCAGGCCTACAGACGACAGTCTCCTTCACCTGCACTTCTCGCTTCGCGTCGTCTTCCCCCTTGTCCTTCGCGTCCTCTCCCGGCGGATTCCACACGAAGCTCCAGATGATCCCAAACAATAGGCAGCTCCTGCAGTGTGGCGCTAGCCAATCAGCGACCAAACTTCCAACCACAGATCCCAGGCGGGGAGGAAAGCGCTGCACTCGTCCAGGAATGCGGCAAACCGCAAAGAGGGCCACAAGCGTTCGTGCGTACGGACAGCGTGAACTATGTTTCATCACATGTGATAAAACAGACCCACTGGACTTATGCAACAAACGAAGAGGGGAACAGAAACGATCGTGAGCAGGCGTACCCACTACAGGAAGAAAAGCCGCAAGGTCTCCTCCATGCAGAGAGTGCACCAGTCTGCGCACCTCTCCGCAATGCTGCAACTCTGGTCGACGCATTGCACAAGGGCCACACAAGGCGCCGTGTGCACGGGCGCATCGGCCGCATCGACCGACATGGCGACACATAAATTGGCCGCACAAAGGCGCAAACCTAAACAACGGGCACCCAGGCTGCTCCGGCAGCCACCGGCGAAGGGCCACCGCGCGGCCGAAGGGCCCACGAGGCGCCTTCGGCCAGCGGCACAATCAAGCGCGACAAAGGCCGCCCACTCACAGGAAAACGGCGCCCGTCCTCACGAGGTGCTGCGTGTGCTGGTCGTCGAAGCCCTCCGCGACCTGGAAGCCAGTGGCGAAGATGAAGGACCCCATGGACAGGCCCAGCAGGCTCCAGCCCACGCGGGTCCAGAAGCCATCCCTGCGACAAGAAATCCACCAAACCATCCGCTCCGCATCCCCGGCATGAATCAGGATACCCTCAAATGCGCCGACGAGCCGGCAGTGGAGCCAGACGCCAATTTTTCCCTGCCCCTCCGGCCGCCGGCAGCAGCGCTCGGGGGGCAGTGCGGAGATCGGCCACTGGTGGCAGGAGGCAGCGCCACACGAACTGCGGCAGGCCGAGGGGAATTTCGGGAGCACCTGGATGCCTTTCGCTGCGCCTTCTTGTCGTCCTCGTCCTGGGCCTTGTCCACCACCGTTCCGCCCATCCCGAACGAGGATCTTCGCTGGTGAGCAGCGGGGGTGGTCGGAGCTGTCGGTCAGCCTGCTTAAACAAGACCACTGTGGCCCGCACTGATCCAAGTTGATCCTTGGTTCAGTTCCTTGGGATCTGGTCAACTGACAATGTTACCACAATTTACCGTAGTCTATCCAAATTTTCCGCATCAAAAAGTTTTACCGTTATCCTTTTTGCTCCGCATATTTTTTCGTCACGTTTTTAGATTTCTTATGTTGCTCAACAAAATTCTAATAAGAGAATGTTATTACGAGCGAGCAAAGCGAGCGGAGCTTTATAGAGCAAAATTGCGATTTTGGCCGACCTTTAACCGCACGCCACCGACCGCATGCTGCGCACATACTGCCCCCTCTCCGGGCTTCCTGGCGCCGCACGCCGTGCGTGGGTGGCGCACAGTGCAGATGCCGAATGGCCACTCACACCCTCCCTGACTTCCTTGCGCCTCGCGCGGTGCACGGCACGGCATGCGCGCCAACCGCCCACTCACACCCTCCCTGACTTCCTTGTGCCTCCCGCGGCACGCATGCAGTGCGACGGGCGGCATGGGTGCCGATTGCCCACTCACGCCTATCCCCGGGCTCTGTGCACCAGCGCGCAATGCGCGGGCGCGGCGCGGCGTGGGCGGCACCCCGCCTCCCACCGGCTTCCCCCAGGTTTGCTCGACCGGCGCACGCGGCCTGCTGGCCTGGGCTTAGGCGTGACTAAGGCGGGGGGGGGGGTCTGGGATACCTCTAGTGGCATGCGCCGTGCTTGCGTGGTCATTTTTTCGTGTTGCGCATGGGAGTGTTACTGTGACGTGGTTACTTGGGGTTAGGCAGCTATTGGCATTTTATAGAGTGGTTATTACGTAATTTGGGATATCGATTTTTTGTGAGTGTTATTTAGAGCTTCTTGGTTCCAACGCACTTTAGAACGCCCAATTCCGTTAAGAATTGACGAAGATATGGCCTCTTGAAATCACAGTACTTAGGGCCAGGGGGTTCGGGTGTGAGATGCTTGGAAATAGAGGACATTGGGTCGATCGTAGTTGAACGGTGGACGGTGACGATGTGCCTGGACGCACACTTGTGTTGTCTTGTCTTGATGTGACTGCAATGGACCCGCGATCGGGCATCGCGCATGCAATATGTGCGCATGCATGCAATGAATCCGTGTAACATCCTTTGGCCCACTCTCTGGCCTCCCGCGAGCCGGCGAACCACCACCGCGCTGTGCCGCCACCTCTCGCCAACAGCAGGCCCCGGGGATCGATCCCCATCGAGCATTGGGCCCACTGTGCGACCGCCTAATCGACTGCCCCGTGATACGAAAAGGTTGTGGGTGTGGGGCTCTTGCCCTCTTTGAGCCGCGGACCCGCCTCGCCGGGCACCTAGGTCCTTACGGGGACCTAGGCAGGACCACCCCTCCTACTCCTGTATCCTAATACCTAGAGCGGTTACGATGGGTTGAGGACTAGTTAACTTGGGCAAGGCGTCCCCTACACCAAGGGCCATTAGTAGGGCGTCCCCCACATCAGGCCACTGCGCGTAACACCCCGATTACGCCCACCATCCGAGGTGGAGAGGCCAGCCGACCTCCAACGGCTGTGCTGCAGGGCAGGGCGACCCCAGAGCCTCCTAAAACCAGCGGCTGCCAATGGGGCCGCAACAAATTGGTTTCGGAGCACGAAGCTCGGAGCCGGGAGTTGAGCAAAAGGCGCAGCAACCCAGAGTGACCACGCAGCCTGACAGGGCTGCGGTTTCCAGAAGCCTCCAACACCCCAGGCAGCGGTCAGCACCTCCGCGCGTGCTGAGTCGCAGTGCTGTGTGCCTGCAGGAGTGTGTTTTGTGAGCCTGAGGAGTTGTCCGTTGGGCGATTGGTGTTCGGGGATCGACGGCGCTGGGCGATCGCCAGATCCGCGGATTCAGTGCATGCGCCAGGCGCCCATCATGTAACCGAACACGCGAAGGCCAGCACCCCTCATTTGGAAGCGCCAGTCAACCTCAGGTGCCACCCGTTGTAGAATAGAGGTGAAGGTCCTGCTCTAGAGGTAGGGGACATCTACTGCTTCACCTTATTTTGCAGGTACTATAGGTGGGTCACCACCAGACCGCTCTGCCACAAGATTGGGGGCCTGACTAGGGGAAGGGGGAGGAGATTGAGCACGGCAATAGGCAGGCCCAGTTGGGTCCAGAGTACTACTTCCTAGAGGAGGCATCTCCCCTGGAACCGGTCAGAGGGTGAGGCCATTGCCCACTTGAGGTAGACATGCCAGCCACCCCTTCTGAACCTTGGGTGGTTAAGTCTTAAAACATTAGATAGGCTGGGGGTGCCATAGGCCAACCCAGACCTCTTACAGTAGTCTCGTCCCAGGCAAGGAACACTTTCTTAGGTTGTTCGGCTGACGCTGGGACTAAGTTTTCATTAGCAACCATAGACGCACCCTCTGGAAAGTTACCAGGTGGACCGAGAGGTCACCCTGCAGAGTACTGGGGGTGACCGTGTGTGAAAGTGACTACTGAAAACCAGTAGAAGCAGGATAACTTAAGTTGGGAGGTAAAGGCTGCTTGGCTACTTGGGGATAGGATTCAGTGGATTTTCAGTAGCCCGAGATCAGGTCTACGCCGATTGACTTCGTTTCAATACAGTAGAGGTGGCCACACTCGGGTGCCGTCCGGTCCGGTCCGTAAAACTGAGTGTGATATTCGTCCGGTAATATCCGGTTCGCTATTTGCCGTACTGCTGTCCGCAGAGTCCGGCTCTCACTTTTTCTTCACCGTTATTTGCCGTTAAGTTAACGGATGATGTGTGCGGCGTCCGGTCCGCAACAAAATATCCGTTGATTAATAATTTTGGTCCGTTATTACCTACAGGTACTTGCTTTCCAGCCACAGCAAGGTCAAGGCGAAGTTGCCAAGGGGTTTCCATTTTGCAGCAATTTGAATCATGTTGGTTGCATGCTTGATAAATTTGTGTGGGCATCTCCCAGGTCATGTATTCTGCAGTTTGTAATACATGGAGTGATTTGGAGAACTGAACAACACACAAGCCGTGTGTAAAGTGCCAGTGTATGGCATACACTGTATGCATGCAATCCTGCACCACTTGCTACGGCTGGTACTGCTGCGTAGTACGCAGTGCGTACCACACTCCCATTGCAAGTCTTCCCGGCCATTCCAACAAGGGTTCGGCATAATTGTAATACCAAACGTGGACACACACACAGCCACATCACCTGAGGTAGGTGGCAAAGAGGGTTCACCTCTGAACACAGTTGAGCCACTCAACATACTTGGGAATGGGTGATACGTATCACATATAACGATGGGTTGCTGTGGCGGTACTCCACAGTTTCCACGCCAGGGCAGCGAATGTAAAACCCATCCACCAATTGCACTATTCGACTGGACACATTTCTCACAGAAAATCTCTTCTATCTATATGATACCCTAGGTTCATCCACCATTCCAACATAGTACATCGAAGTTCAACAGTTCTACATATATGAAAACGGGCAACAAATAGTACGAGTCGTGATTTGTTATCTACCATCTCTGCCTATCGCACTCTCACTACGGCGGTACTCCAAAAGTTTCCACGCCAGGGCAGCGACTGTAAAGTCTATCCACCAATCGCAGTACTTGTTGGGACGCATTTCTTGAATAAAATTTTCTTCTATCTATATTATACCCAAAGTTCATCCACCACTCCAACATAGTGTGTTCAAGGTGTGCACTTGAACACAGGACAACGGAATATTACAGGTCATGATATCTTATCTTCTATCTCTATGGTACCGCACCCTCGCTGCGGCGGTGCTCCACAGTTTCCACGCCGGGGCAATGAGGGTGGTCACCGGTGGTGATCCAAACTTTGGAATCCGAAGTCCCTACTTCCCTCCCTTCCCTCCCTTCCCTCCCTTCCCTCCCTTCCCTCCCTTCCCTCCCTTCCCTCCCTTCCCTCCCTTCCCTCCCTTCCCTCCCTTCCCCCCCTTCTTGTGTCGATGCGCTAGCTTCTACTGCGACCATCCACTCTCTGCCATCTGCCACCCTAGCAAGCTCAAATGATCCACGTTCTCGGGCTTGAGCACCATGCGCTTGGCCGCCACAATTAGACCAACCTTCAAAAATGAGCGTTCACTATTGGCGCTGGAGGCCTGCAACACAACCAAAAATACTCAGTACTTCTCAGCCTGTGAACTTCATAAGGGCTCTATGGCATATATGCATAGCTAGCTGGCATCACAATAAAACCAAACTTGGAAAATGAGCATTCACTGCTGGCGTTGGAAACCTGCAACACAACCAAAAGTATTCAGTTCTTTCCCTCTTTTCAACTCCATATTTCATATAAGGGCACTTTGGTATATATGCACAGCTAGTTGTACTCACCCACTCACCTGTGTTGCTAATATTCGACATGCAAGCCTGGCCACCAAGGGGAAGCTGGTGTGATTCTCGCCCCACCAATCCCCAGCACTCCATTTTTTTTTGATATTCACATGCTGGTGTCCATTTCAAATCAAACCACCTTTCGACTTCGGCCTCCACTGGGTCCATGTGCAGTGGGGAGCATGGGGCCCGTCTTCTCCATCTTGATGGTCGGAAACGTAGTGGTCCCTTAGGTGGGGGTGATGCCGCGTCTAGCCAACTCTGCTGCACAGCCTGTGCTGCATCCTCTTTGGATGATGAGCCCGAGGGATGGACTTCGGGCGCCTTCACCATCTGCCTCAACTGCAGAAGTCATATGCACACTATTAGTCACACAAGCAAGATATAAAAGTAGGCACCCCATGCAGCCAAGTGATCCCAGGAGACGGCCGTTTAAGGCGAAATACACAACAGGCACAGTCGTGCATGAAAAGGCACAAAGGACACTCAGTACCTGCCAAAACTATCCACAGTTGGATGCACACATTTACAAAGGCAAAGGCCGCAAATCAGAACTGAACTCACCAATGCCATTATCTCTTTCTTCAACATCGCTTGGAAC